CCCATTTCACACCCAGCCCCCAGCAGAGAGGAGCAGCCCCCACCTGACACTGCCAGAACTGAAATCCAAACCCCCAGCTGGAATCACGAGGATGGATGTGACAAAAAAAACCTTGGAATGATGCTGGAACACCCCCTGAAAGCTGACAAAATTCACTCAAAGCACAGAGAACACTCCAAGATTCCAGGCCTGAGTTATCCCTGGTTTTTCCACCAGCCTGCAATGGGGCAGATTTTGCCCAAATTCAATGAAAATTTCCAAGAAATTGGGATCAGCCAGAATGCAGCTGCTGTTCCATCACCATCAGGGCACAATGAAAACCTGGGAGAGGAGGTTTGGGTGGAGTTTTCCCAAAATTTAATGGAATACAGCAGCAATTCCCTGAACCTACTGCCACAGAGCAGCGGAGAGGGGGGAAAATTCCCTCCAGCATTCCCAGCTCTGCCAACCTTTCCTCCAGGAACCAGGAATTCCTCGGGAATGGCATCAGGATTCCCTTGGCTGACAGGGAATCTCTTCAGTTCACTGCCTGACACCACAACTTGGGAAATCCAGCCTGGATTCCACAATTCCCACCTGGACTCCAGCGGGGCAGGAATGATTTTTCCTCACATAAAATAATCCCTATAACAAAAAACCAAACCAAACTGCACCAGGGATGTTGTTCCAGGTGGAAAATTTTTCTTCCAGTTGACTCAGACGTTTCTTTATGGATGGATGGGAAATGCCTGGATGTGGGGAAACCTCTGGAAGGTGTGGGATTGGTTTGGAAAATAATGGAATTGTGCAGATCAAGGAACGGCTGGGCGGAATCCAACAGAAATGTGTTTTTCCTGATGGATGGGAAGAGCTCTCCCTACTTTCCCTCGGGATTTCACGGCTGCAGATGGAGCTGGAGAATTCCCTGCAGGAAGAGTTTGCATCCCGCTGTGCCAAGGGCGGCATTTCCCGATGTTTTTGTAGCAGAGCTGCTCCCAACTGGAAATCTTCCCTCTGCTCCACAGATCCCAGGCTGGGTTGGGTGGGAAAGACTTGAAAATCCATAAAATTCCAGCCCCTCAGAGGCTGCTCCAAGCCCCTTCCTGGGACACTTCCAGGGACAGGGCGGGATTTCTTTTTCATGGAGAAAC